AGAACTCACAAAACCTTTCTTTAAAATCTTTCCTTTAAGTTTGCTACTAGAGGACAGCAACAGGTAGCGATTGTTTCTCTGACTCTTTGAGTACAAGAGCTTACTTGTACCTATGCTTTGTAAGAGGTAAATATTCCTGTGATATMCATTACATCTAAAATCACAGACAGAATCAGGCAGGCCGAATATCAGTCCTGTAAGTTATAGATCTTTACTGTCTGAAACAAAATGGATTAGGTCAAAAATATTTAAATTTCATAGATAGCACTAAATATCACAGATTTGGTGACACCGAGTAAATGTTTAAAATACTTATCAGGAAAGAAGTGATTGATCACACAGCCCAGAGGAAGAAATGCTGCAGAATTATAGCACTAAAGACATAAGCTGCCAGAGGTTGTGTTTGGCCAATGCTTTGTGCTTTTGAAAGGTATAAGGTCAATCCCAAATGGTTATGGTTCCTAAAGGCTGCAGTAAGACCTTGAGCTGTTTTGGAAAGCAGGGTGTACCTCAAGGTCAAGTACACTGATGTGATGCTTAGCAAGAATCTCATCTCTTCTCTCTACGACCAGCACATGCATGCACTCAACAGTATGACAGCAGTATGAAATTAAACRTACAATATATATTCAATGGAAATGAGACTTTTCCCCCACTGTTTTTCTTTTTAGAAATTATGGTCCTGCTTGAGTAGAAATGTTTTCAAATTAAAGCTGAAAATTTGCCTCTCTCTATATTTTGCTATTTCAATTGTGTTTTTTAGCGGGAGCACTTAYATCACTTTTCTCCCCTCTTTCACAACACTTGAGATATAGAAATAGTCAAAGATTAAAAAAAAATAAAATATCTTGTTGAAAACATTATTCAATTAAAATAAATGCAATTTGCATGTTTCACCCTTTGTTTAAATTGGAATTTATGAAATATGCACTCCTGGACAGTTTCATTACTCAGCTATGCTCTGAGATTCAGAAGTTACAAAAACACAATTTACACCAAGCTTTTCATTTGCTCACATCAGTTGTGCAGTGCTCTTTTCCACACGACTTTATATAGAACATTAGAATTGTATTAGCAAACTCATCAATAATGCTTCTTTCCATGGATGACCTTGGAAATCTATTGCAAGGCAAACTAGATGAAAAGTTTCTACTCAAAGCAAGCTAGATATAATTTCAAAAAGGTTTATTTTGTAATTCTAAAACCATAGAGAATTCTCCTCACAGAATCTCTCATATTACTCAAAAGGCCAGATTTATTTCAAAGATATGTTTTGAATCCAGCATAAACAGTAGATCTAACAAATTATATTGACTCTTAGGARAGACTTTACCCTGTAGATACAAAATTCTGCCAGTGGACTTTGCAAAGCTGTTCAAAGCAAGCAGTACAGTGCCTAAGGTCCACAGATAAACCAGAAGAATAAAAACTTTATTCATAGTTCTGGAAATGTAGAACTGGCTCTGGCTCAAGCAATACAAAAGATAAGAAAATTCTCTTTAACTTCTAGTGCTGATATAATGGAATATATAAATCCACAAGAGACAAGGAGAGAAGCTTTTATATTTGCTAAAGATTGAAAGACCTGTGTTGGCATAGAGTGTATCAACAGGATAAGGATCTCATACTCACAGTACTCTCATATAGGGATCTACCATATATTTCTTAAATACCAAAGGAGACACGAGGGAGAAGCACTGAGGACTGAGCAACGAATGAGGTTCTGGTTGCTCTAAACTCTATCTCCTTGGAATCTGCAAGTGGTRAAAGAAAGGGAGAAGAGGAGATAAGGTAAAAAAAATCATTAGACACTTTTGCAGAAAATTCTATTTCCTGTAATTATGAACATAGTCAACCAGGTAGAAGTATCTCCTGAAGCAATTTAACACATGATCTCTACTTCTTGGTCCTTTTCCCCTTCCATGGCTCTCCTCTAYCCTATTTCCAGTGTAGAGCTACACTGCACATCAGAAAGTTAAAATTAATAGATTTTTTTTATAGCTTTTCAATGCAATTTACACTACAAAGTGACTGTCAAACTGTTGCTTCCACTGTGATGCAGAATCAATCAAAGCCACWAAGTCACAGGTCTCTCCAGTTATCACAGATATCTTAGAAGCATCTTTTATGAATATTTTATTTTTTCTAATACACAGACTTGCTCCTAATGTGGTCCACAGGGCTTGTTGCCATAGACAGTGGAGGACAGCACACAGTGCAAGCTGCAATTATCTGCAGCAAGGAGACACTTCCTCAGCTGAGCACTCTCTGTGTCTCTGCAGAATTGCTGTTAGATGTGAAATTCGTTTGGTGTCACCTTGCACAGAGAGGTGTGATGGGCTACATGCAGTTCAGCTGTACTGGAAAGGTGCACCTTCTGGAGTAATTTTGCTGACACTGAAGTTGCATTTTATAGTTAAACTGCACTGTATTTCTTGTTTTGATTTACATTTTATAAGATTTTTGGCCAGAATGAGTGTACCATGGAAAGTTGATTTCTTATGCTATAATTCTGARTAGAGTTTAGAATGTTGGGTTACACAGTGCTGTGCTAATGCCAGTACTTTGATTTGAAGAGGGATTTTATTTCTTTCTGCCAAAGACTGGCAGAAATTCCATCATTGTCAAAAATGTAATCTGATATCCCTAAAAATTACACATAAACAAGGTCTTACTCCAAAAGATAAAATTCTTAGATATGTAAATTTGTGTTTGGACTTYATGATATTCACCAGTCAAGATAAAAATTTTCATTGTGTCTGTGTAGAAATCATATATTTTATTTTAGGATAGCCAGAGAGATTAATAATGTTAATAAATTCTGGTTTATGATATCTTTGAAGTACTATAAAGTTGCTTGTTTAAAAAAAAGAAAGAAAAAAACTCCAATAATTTTAATTACATGCTAAATAAAAATGGCAGAGTAGCATAACATAACATAATGTTTCTCTGTCTAGGTAAAGGTGTGGAATATGATCAGTCACAAAGTCATGGATTTTCAAAAGTCACTCCCCTGTATGGTGATAATGTACCCCTYTCATCTGCAGTTGAAATAATATGTGAAAATTATTGTATGCTAATGGCACTGCAATTACCTAATTTCTGTAATTATTTAAGCCTTGGCATGACTTAAGGAAGTTGTTTAAATTTCCAGTGCAGAGGAGGGAATGGAATTGAGGGTGTCGGACTCTTCTCACAAGTGTCTGTTGACAGAAGGCAACGGTAATGGACACAAATTCAAAAACTTGGAAATTTCATCTGAACAAAATAAATCACTTTACTGTGACGGTCACCCAGCACAAGGAGGAGTTGTCCAGAGAAGCTGTTGAGTCTCCATCCATGGATACACCCAAAACCCAAGTGGACATGGTCCCGCACAACCTGCTCTACTMGAGGTAGCTGAAGCAGTGGCTTGGACTAAAGAGGTCTGGAGAAGTCTCTGCCAACCTCAACTATTATGTGGCTTTCTGGAATTTAGGATAAGCCTTATTAATGAATTTTTGGTGGTATCTTAATCAGCTTTTATCACATCATTTTAGAGAGGTGTGAAAACTGCCTTAACAATGACAAATCCTTTTGTCAATTTTTGTCTCAAAAATCCGCTTTTCTACTAAGGGCTCTCTGACACATGGGTTCCCTCTAAAAAGCAGCCACAGTTTTTCACGTATTTAAGGCCTTCACAACAAGCAGTTTGTGGTGTGGATCCCCTGACACTAATCAGGTCAAACTGACAGCAAAAAATTAAAAAATAAAATAATGACACAGATATCAGGTTGGAAACAGATTTTGTGTGTGTGTGTGTCAGTGCACAGAAACTTCTGTATCTCAAAGCTGAAAATTTAAGTCTTAATATCTTGCAACTAACCAACATTAACATTGATATTTTTTCTCTTATTTGTACTATCCATTTTAAATTTTTGGAATACATTTTAATGCTGTATTGTCACTGTATTTAAGATTAGTTTAAGTCAATGTTGAAACTAAACCAAAAGTTTGGTTCTCCTTTCCTATTCTGCTTCAACGAGAATGAAGTTCCTCAATCTGTAAAATACTGTTGAGTAGCAACTATTTGAGGAGATTAATAATACCCTGACAACAATAACCGGTCCTCTGGAAATATGGGCCTGCACAAAGGTACTGTGTTCAACAATATGTAAGATTTTAGTCATGTTTGAAGGAAAAAATGRAACACATTACAATGAATGCATTGAAAATAAATTCTCCTGAATGTATTCTTGCAGAACTTGGAGCTCTAGACTGAAACATAATCTAAAGTTAGCAGTGTTTTGAAGTGTTGCATTTGGAGTTATCAGAACTGTTTCAACTAATGTTAGCTGAACTTAGGCACACAGTGCACAAAAAAATAATTTACGCAATTTATAGTCTCACAGTCCAGGGATGGCTGAATCTCAGCACTCTTTGGATTTGACCCTAATGTTTTATGTGTAAGTTACTAAGTTAYTCTCATTTTATGAGATGACTTTCACTAACTGTCAGAGATAAACACAAGTTGTTGTGAAACAGATTTGTATATTAAATACCATCAGAGAAATTTCTGGCCTGTTCACACCATCAGAGCAGCAGTTTACCTAAACTCTTTTTAAAAAAAATTAAATGTCTTATAAAAGCGTTAAAAGTTTCTGTATTATGCAAATGTGTRTAACAGTGGGTTTTCTCAGTTTAAAATGGTATTTTCAAAAAACTATCCTTATGAGCAGAACAAAGTCCTTTGCCTGTCTACTTTTCAACAGCTCACAAAACTCTCTTTTATGGAATGTCCACAACATTGAACTGAATTTTCTTCCAGCCAAAACATCCTACTTTTGAAGCTTTGGGCAAGGCAAATAGAAACATATAATGCAACATTAAAAGAGTGAGACCAAATAACATCTGTTGGAAGMAGTAAAACCCTAAAGCCATGATGTATAATGGCTAACAAATTAGAAAGAGCATCCTTTGATATAAGTACAATATTGATTTAAATGTCCTTTTGGTTTCAGTTGGAGAGAATCCCAGGSAATGTCCTGCCTCCACTGATTTTGTGTGTGGGAATGAGAATTGCATAGAGCCTCAGTTCACCTGCGACTATAAAGCAGACTGAAGGCCTATCAATCGAGGCTGACTGCAGTAAGTACCTCTTCGTGTGTTCTTTTAATCTTCTGTTTAAATTTTAATCCTAAATTCTGTAGCACTGTTTAGGTAAGCTCACACAGATAATTCACTCAGAAGATGATCACAAGCAGGTTGCCTTCTCCCCAGCTCAAAAGGTCTGACATTTTCATACCCTCAGAGGTACTTGATGTAAAAAATATTTAAGTGTGGTTTAGTTGCAAAAGTGTAACTTACTGAAACCAAAGGTYAAATACTGAATAAAAACCCACACCAAGACCAAAACCAGCTTAAGGTTTAAGTACATACTTGAGRAATTAAATCAATGAGTTACAATAAAGTTACCTTTGAGAACAAATGCAAGCTCATTTTTTAATATGAATACATGYTGAAAGGACTATCAATGTTGAGTGAAAAAGCTAATCAAGCAAACTTATATAAAAGTAACATTTAGGCATGATTCTGCTATTAAAAGGTGAATATTTAAAAATAAACTTGTCTTTCAAATGAATTCTGCCTTTATGATCTGAGTAGTGTGGATACATTTTCATTGTTCTTGCTTCTACTGCAGAGTTATGAAAATATTTTATTTTCATTTCTCGATTACCAAACAGTTGGAAAAAATTGAATCTATTCATGCTTTCATAAGTCTTAGAGAATACTAAGACAAAATTTGTCTGTAGGCATTATTCACTGAGGCTGATTGAGATGGAAGGACACAGCTCCGTTTTAAAATCTGGATCAAGTTAATGGGCTTTCCAGTTCAGGCCTGGAACTCAAAAGCAGTGAAACATTTTTGTTTGTGCCCTTGTTCCTATTCCATGTCTTTGTTTACAGTTACTGTCTGAATGGACATTTGGAGTAGGAAGGTTAAGTAGTCCATATATACAGTTCAGTAATCAGTCCAATTGGTAATCTTTGAGCTGGAGGGTCGAATTCTGCCATAATTCAGGTGTGCTCAGAAGTTGATAAACTATCATACACATCAATTCCATGTTCATCCTTTCATCCTTTGTGGAAGTAAAAGTACTTCAGTRAAATAAGCCAATATTTTGTGATCCCTTGAAAATCAATATTTTTTCTTGCATAGGATTGCTACATGCTTGACTGAACAGGATTACAAAAGTAATGACCCTTGATTGGATGGTGTACAGGATAATGTTTAGCCAGGCAAAGGACTTATCTACTTACTGAGACACATCCTAATATGTCACTGTAGGAGATTCAACTTGGAGTTTCTCCATTTCATAAAAGTAAATAACAGTTCTGAAGYACAAAAGCTGAAGATGGTGTCACTATTCCTGGTTTCTACCTCTCGTAGTACTTCGTGTCACAGTAAACTTTGTGAATCATATCCATTGAAATAGATTTGCATTCAATGATAAATTTAAAATACTAGATAGATTTTAAACAGCTAATCTGTTTTTCTTRTATAAAGTATTAAAACTTTTTCAGGAGTTAGGCAAAGGAAATGCAGCAAAATACTCTGTAAATTCACTCTTGTTACATTTTCCAGACCTAACAAATACACAGTAAATCTGAATTGCTGTCCAAAGTAAGCTGCTCAGGAAAAATATTCAGAAAACTATGGAGTCACCTGATTTATTCTCTAAATATTATCAAAGGATATAGTAGCTTCACTGGGGGAAGGTGTTCTTCTGTGTTTTCTGGAAGGACTCTTTTCTTACTCAGATAATAAATGGGAACATTTCAGGCCATAAATGATCTTGAACCACAGTAAAGCAACTCAGTCTTTGCTATACTGAAGAAAAGCTTTTCCAAGGGAAGAAAAAAAAATGCTGATATTCACTTAAACAAAATAGACTGAAATATCTTTTTATTGTCGATGGAAAGGCCGTAGATACATAAAAATATTTTCATCAGTCTTTAGTCTTGCTATCTCTAAGTGTAATGCAGAGATTCTGGCATTCAGAATACTCAGATAAGCCTCAGGTATAATATTTCCCTGTCTGCTCTATTTTAGTTCCAACAAATGATTCCTTATATTTAGATGAACACACTTTTCCCCTGAGCATATATCTTATAGATGGGAATAAACAACATTAAAGGGCACATAATGCCTTCTAGATATGGAAACCTGCTTTTTTTTAATGAAAAGGCAACAGAAGCTGCCTAATCAGAAAAAAAAAAAAAAAAAAAAAAAAGCAGAACAGGGACAGAGAAATCTCTTCATAGCCTAACCTGTCCCATACATGTGGTTATGACCACGTTTGTCTGCAGTTTTCTCCTTCGCACTGGGCTCAAGGTCTGAGCTTATTTTACATTCTACTATAGTTTTATACAAGTGTAACTCCAAAGAAGTAAATGGACCATAATCTACTCAGCAGCAATTCCTGTATGCAGGATTTACAACAGAACCTGGATGAAATGATCTGCATCCATGTAGGCTGGTGAACTTTTTTTTCTAAATAAACTTGTGGAAATTACTTATTCTATGTTTCATTCAGTCCAGTCAGGCAATCTTGCAAAATTTTCATTCTCTTTCAGTCAGCTGCTGGAAGTACTGAGGTGAAAAAAGCACACATGAAAGCAGTTTCAATTTTCATGAATTGCAGCCAACTATACACAGAGATTTGATTAATAGCAAACCTCAGCGTTGATGAACCAACTAGAGGAGTGCTTGAATTATTGAAATAAAAGCAATTTTTCCAATAAATGGAGCAATCTTCTTCTGTTGCCTTCTAAATAGGGTACAACTTACCCATTAAAAAAGGCACCCAGCAGGTGCAGATAGGTCATGTGACTCTGTCAGTAGTTACTGTTCATAAATATTTATTAATAATTGCCTTCTGAATGAACTGGTAATATATCAGGGTAAAAATCCTCAGGTCAGGTATTCTGACTGGTGTAAATCCTAAATGGATTTGGACTTTGATCTTGTTAGAGATGTACAAGAAAATGCACTTGCTTTTTTTCAATTAATGATTCCTTTGCCCTGCGGGTGTGAGGGTGTTTATTGTTGGAGTTATCTTTATTAGGCTCACATAATGTTTGCTGCTCACTGCATTTGACTAGCACTAACAAAATCCCAGAAAGGCTGAGGTGAGAAGGCACCTCTGGAGATCATTTAGTTCATCTCCCTGCTTCAAACATCAATTCACTGCAATAGGTCACACAGGGCTGTGCCCCTCAGGGCTTCAAAACCTTCAAAAATGGAGACTCCAAAACTYACCTAGGCAACTTATATCATTGTTTTACCACCCCAAGAGCTAAAAAAGGTTTTTATCCTTAACCTTAAAAATTGCTTCCTCTATTTGTGCCCKTTGCCTCTTTTCCTGACACTGGGCACCACTGAGAAGAGTCTGTGTTTTTCTTCTTTACACYATCCCAGAAAGTGTCGATACACACTGACAAAATCCCACAGAGCATTCTCATCTCCAGCCTCAACAGTCCCAGCTCTCTCAGTCTGTTCTTATGAGAGACACTTCGGTCCTTGCAGCACAATACATACACTACAGAACAGTGCAAATTCCTCTCCWAGCATACAGGATTTTGATCCAGTGAATAACCTATATTGGATMAAAATTATACTTATTTTAAGATATTTGTCTGACACATTTAACTAAGGTGACACTTTTTTTAAGAGAGAACAAAATTCTGCAGGGTTACAGATCTGTGTGCACAGATCTTGGTCAAAAGCAGTTTCATGGTAAGTTATTTCTACAAAGAATGGCCTCAGATTTTCTGTTAACATCAAAGTAAAAAAATAAGAAAAAAAAAACCAAAACAGAATACTAAGAGGTAATTAAATCTATTCTTTTTATCTATATCCCTTATAACCAGATAATGATATACAAATAGTTGTATTTAAACATTGCAGAATACTTCTAGATCAAGGAACATAATCTAAATCCTCAAATCCCTTCTGAACMGTCACAGTCAGAGCTGTTTCTAAAATGCATGGCTGACTGTGTTTAATAATTTGGAAACATTTTCCCAAAGTCTTCTCACAGGTGTTGCCCTCACTCTGACTCAGTAATTGCATAGCTGCCTCTGCTTTATAACTGAGGAAAAGATGTTTTGGAGCAAATAAAAGAGGTTGTGGTGCTATTTGATTCATCTGTACCACACCATTTATGTAACCTTGTTGATTAATTATTTTTCTGTCAAAAAGTCACCTGAAGTGTCAGAGGCAGTGTTAGGATTGAGCAATTTAAGTCAGATCTCCTGAATTCAGTCAGTGAGTGTCCCAATTCCTAGAACATCTCTGATCATAAAGCTGCCCTCACACATAACATTCACAAGGATGAGCCAAYACATGCTTACAAAAAATGCCACTGTGGAAGTGCAGTCCAGTTTTGTTAGCTAATTGCCTGGAAATCCCTCTGTCCCTTCATCTTGGATAAGAACAAAATTTGGTGAAGTTATTGGCTTGTCCTAAAGAGTTACATGGGCATTTATCTGTAATAAAATTTATAGCTGTTCTTAAAGCAAGCAATTAGTTTTTGCTTTCCTCATTAAYTGTGATGTATTATTTATGTCCATACACGGAATTTAGGGAATCACAGCTTTAACCATATAGAATCCTTTCAATTGCCATGTGCACATTAAAGCCCCTTTACATCGAGCTGGGGTGATAATTTACTTTTTGCTGTATTTTCAGGTTACTACACAATATTCCTGGAAGCTSTAACTTTGAAGCACAAGATCAAGAGTAGACAACTGTATGTGGGTTAACACAAGACTCTGCTGATAATTTTGACTGGAATATCAGCAAAGTGTTGTCACAGGACAAACAGGTCCTCATACTGACCACACACCAGGTATTACCATGGGTAATRCATCACTTCTGGGGAAATAAAATAGTCACTGAATCTTAAAAAACCTACCAATAAAATGTAGATCAGTCTGAAAATAACACATCTCCGTATGATCAGCTGATGCGTGGGAATGGTTCAAAGTTGCTCCAGGGAAAGGTTCAGACTGGAATTTAGGAATAATTTCTTTAGCAACAGGGAGGYCAAACAYTGGAACAGGCTTCCTAGAGGGGGGTCAGTGCCCCAGCCTAGCAGTGTTAAACAGGCATTTGGACAACGCCCTTCACAACATGCTTTATCTTGGTCAGCCCTGAATTGATAAGCCAGCTCAACTAGATGATCATTTTAGGTCTCCTTCAATTGAAATAATACTATTCCATTCTATTCTAATAATAAATTTCAGCTACRTAATGTCAGCTTCTGACATTAAAAGATTCATTCTTTGAAATTGTAATTGGCTACAGTAATGCTCTTCTCATTGTCAATATTTTAAATAATCTACTTTTCCTGGAGTGTGGTACCGTCCTAATGAATTTTAGAAAAACATGCAATCATATGCAAGATGAGGAGCAATGTGTGTGGGTGTGTGTGAAATGCTTAAGGCTCCTACCTTGATTTAACTTACCTCCCTGGCACTGTCTTGCYAGAAATCCTAACATAGAAGTTCTTTCCAAGATATTTCTGACAAACTGCTACCAGAATGCCTCTTGATTGTCAGGACAATGAAATGTATTATAGGCAATTACAATAATCTTTGTTATGTAGTAAGCATAATTAATTATATTGTGCTACATAAATATTTCATATATTCTTTAAATTACACAATATATCTGGGTGGCATATTAATTTCCATCACAAATGYACCAATCTCTATTTGGAGAAGGAGATAGCTTTCTTTCCAGAAAACGTAATTGTTAGAATCCCTATCTTAATTTTCATCTAATCAGAAAAGTATAAATAGTATTCAATCTAGAAGTATCACAATTTCTATTGGTTTTTCTCTTGGGTTCATGAGCAGCATCATCTCCAGGTTTTCACTCTGTTTTTTTGTGTTTTATGTTTTTAAAATCAACAGAGACACCTCATCACAGGTGGCTGTAGCCATTTCTGTACAACTCTTTTTTCCTCCCTTTTCCTTTTTTTTCTGCACCTGCTGCAGCAACTGCTCACCYGATCATGAGGGAACTGCTTATCTGCCACAAATCACAGTTTCTGCAGACATTCCTACAGCTTTGTGTCGCAGGCTGTAAATCTGGAAGTGCATTCCTCTTGGAAAGGGACAGGATAGACAAGGTGGAGGTAGAAACTATTGCAGCTGTTCCAGGCAAGCTGTTTCTTGCAAATAAGTCGTTCAACTTGCTTTCTTGCTGTTTCTTTGATGTAATGCASTAACAAAACATCCACTAGCCCCCTGGCTTTTTAAGGAGATTTTGTGTGCTTTTCTATTTCAGTTTCTGTTGTTTAATTAGTTCTTTGTTTCTGTGAAATTACCCAGCAATTGTAAGAAAAACAAAGTTAATAAAAAGTGAAGCAAAARGAAAACAAAATTAGAGCAAATGTGCTTACAAAATCATCAAGATTTTTAATTTACTTTTAAATTACCCAGGCAAGAAATATTCACATTGGCTACAGAGGAACTGCTTGCTAGAATTGCCAACAGCATGCAATATGTAGAAATATCTGTCAGCCCATCAGGTTTAGGTTGGATATCAGGAAAAGGTTTTTCACCCAGAGGGTGGTTGGCCACTGGAACTGCTCCCATGGGAAGTGGTCACAGCACCAAACCTGACAGAGTTCAGAAGTGTTTGTACAATGCTCTTGGACACTCGGGTTGACTATGGAGTGTCCTGTGCAGGGCCAGGAACTGGACTTGGATGATCTTTGTAGGTCCCTTCCAAGATAGGTCATTCTATGATTCTGTCTAGCACCAGGGGCATCTAGGAAAAGGGACATCTTTTTATACCAAAAGAGRAGAGACTTAGATTAGAAATTAGGAAATTGAAAGAAATTCTTTACTAATTCTTCTTTAGTCAGAAGGCAGTGAGGCACTGGAAAAGTTTGTCCAGAAGCTGTGGATGCCCCATCCCTGGAAGTGTTTAAGGCCAGGCTGGCTGTGTTTTGAGAACTGATGCAGTGGGTGGCATCCCTGCCCATGGCATGGGGTTGGAACTCGATGATTTTTAAGGGCTCTTCCAACCCAAACTATTCTATAATTCTATGAAATACTCATAGTAAGGAAGAGCTCTATATAACCAAGGTATGGTATGTGGTAAAAAAAAAAATAAATTAAAAATACTAGTATCAGTGAGCATTAATATGCTTATAAAATGAAGCATGAAATTTTACTGGAAAAACACTAAATATTTTTTATCTTTTTATTAAGGTAAAGGACAGAGTTTTTTGTATGTACCATCAATTTCTTCCCAGCCAATCTTGGGGTTTGTACAGTTTGTTTCTGGTTCTGGATGTTTGCCTCTAGGCAAACAGGAGTCTTGAAGGTAAAAGTTCTTCTACTACATTATGGTATAATAAAACTTGCTTTAGTACTTTGCATTTTTGTGTCTAGGATCACCAAAATCTCAGGATTTTATGTTAACAGCCCTTTATCACAACTTCACTGCAGTTRCACCTAWATGCAATTTTTTTCCTGGGATCAAGTGACAATTCTGCTTTAGTTTTAGTTCCACTTGAAGTCCTTTCACTGCATAAGTAAGAATTAACTTTGCACATTTGACTAGCATACTAAAACCTGCACAATACTGGCACAGTTCTCTGTGCAATTCACTCCAACATAAAATAAAGGCACTTTCCAGTGTTTAGTGGTTTAAAATAAAAGTTTTAAAAATATTAATGTAATCGTGTGTGAAGGGTGTTTTATAAAAAACAACTGGAAATAAGGGATTTAACTGTATTAACAATTATAGCTCAAGCTTCCATAAAACTGTTATCTTGCTGTTCCCTAAGCATCCTTAACAGGTACTCTTTTGGTTGTTCAGTATTCTAGTAACAGTCCAAGGAGGGATGTGAAACCTTGGCAAACAACTCATTTCATGTGACTCACTGAATAAATATGTTGCACTGTTCCTTTCTAAGTGACCTGAGAAAATTCCTGTCTGTGGGGTTTATTAACCATTTAAAATACAGGTTATTTTAAATCTTTAGTCAGTGGCAGGATATGAGATAGTCTGCATTAAAAGTGAAAAAGAATATTTTTTAGTCTTGGACATTGAATTAAGTCAGGAAGTTTATACCACTGTTCTCCACTGGAAAGCATAATCATAGCACAGAAGTCCATGGGATTATAGTGCAAGTATATTAACAATTAATACAAGGCTGGAAGGGCCTCAGGTGGTCTCTAGTCCAACCTCTTCCCCCCAGCAGAGTCAGCTACGAGATCATTCTGGGTAGCTCAGAAATTTATCCTGTCTTRMAAATGTACATAARTGGAGGCTACTCAGSCTCTAAGGACAACTTCTGCCACTGGTCAACTGTCCACCATGAAAAGATGTCTCCTTACATCCAGCCCAAGGATAATGTTAGCTTTCATTCCACCATTCCATCCTTTGTCATTTCTTTTCTTTTCTTTTTTTTAATTTTTTTTTTTTTCAGGATGGGGCTTGGATATCAATTTTATCCCTAGCACCTAATTCATGGATACTCTGAATATTGCTGTACATTTATTCATAAATGAAAAAAATCTGTATTTCACAAAGTTGCTATAAGCAGCAAATTCCTTTTTTTTTTTTTAATCTGAAATGCTGTGAGATTATCTAAGATTAGCTATTTGTTGAAGTTCAAGTATCCTGGACAATGCTGTAGTCCTTGCATTACAGCRTGCAAGATTGATGATGAGACTCTTTGAAGGAGCTTTTGAATGTTTTCAAGCATCACAGAACACTTAGCTTTTGTGAATAAGTAGATGTGTGTGGCCCTTGTGTGACTTAGTAGGCAGACAGCCAGAGTCTGCTTTTTAATTGTTTCTTCATTTTAGACAGACTAGTTTAATTAACTCTCATTGCCTTCAATTTAATAAAGAATTGTCTTACTCCCACATACAAATAAAGTCCCCTGTTTGTGGATTTGCTACATGTACTCTTTATGTAAAAACATATTCACAACAGACTGAAGCAAGGAACACAATCCCATCACAGAATAAATTTACCTCTGTGGACATTTTGCTCTTTTCTATCAAACTAATAATCTATTTCAGTATCAACTGTTGCTGTTATTAAATCAAGAATATAAATTAACTGTACCCATTCAAGTGAAAAAGAAAAAAGCTTAAAAAGAACAAAAAAGAAAAGCAATAAAACCAACAGCCTGAAACTTCTAAAGCAACAGATCTGTGAAAAATTTTTTTTTTTCAGTTTGCACTGGAGGTGAAAAAAGTCAAACTGTAATAGGAAGTTTGAATAATGTGGTAGAATAGAATAACATGAGTACAAAAGCTGATATAGTTCTTATCTGAAAGACAGCTATCTGGTCAAGTCTGAATTAATAAAAAATAAAAAGGACTGCAGATATGGACAAACTGAGATGTGTGATTAAAATGACACACAGGGAATTGGCAAAAGAAAGATAAAAATGAACACTGTAACGCTATACAAAGTAGGGGTAGAGCTACACAAAAAAAAATGTAAAGTTGTGGGAACAATCTCCTTTTTAYTCAGAAAAGGAACTAGTCACCAAGGAAAAGGAAAGAGGAACTGGAAATGCTTCTATTCTGCTTTCACAATGTGCATTTCAATTGCACAATTCCATTGTCATAAACTCTGTAGTTTGTTCATAGGAAAACCAAAAGCCTAGGCTATTATTACTTTTAAAAYAGACATAATGTTTGCAGCAATTCTTGCATTACCATAGAATGGACGCTATTTAAAAGAGATCTGAATACTCTTGCTACAGGACTTCAATCAGCCATTAACCAAAAGGAGAAAAAMTTGCTTTGTATTGATTCAGTACAAACCCACTAACTTTCCTTAGAACTGTGTGGTAACAGCCTTTGAAAGGGAAGTTATCCAGCACTAAATACATGGCTGGTCTAATATATCAATTAATGTGCTCTGAGCAAAAATACCTCTTAATACAAACAAATTTTCCCATATTTTGCTGCAAATGTCAATTTAAAAAAAAAAAAAACAAAAACTTCTCACATATTTCTTTACATTTTTATGACTACTTGAATTTAATGGTGTATGAGAACAGTTTCAGAGAGAAATGAATGCAGTTTTCACATCTGTTTCATTCCAATGGAAATCTTATTGATTGTGTGTCAGACCAAAAACACTCAGTACTTATTATGCTCTGGGTTTCTATCTCTGGCCATTTACCTCAGGAGTTTGTCATACTCATACAATGGAGAATTTAATCTGAAATTAATTCTTGATGTAATAGAATAGCTAATGTATCAGTTTTCTGCCTTCGTATTTGTTGTCACACACAGAACTGACATAATAAATTTTGGTATGACAGGTCAATTTTACTTTAAAAACACCTAAATATTTTATTACTTTAAACTAATGTTTAGACAAAATTTTTATTACTTCAAACAAATGTTTAGGGGAATAAAGACAAAAAAGGTAAGTAATTTTTTAAGTGCTTCTCTGTTGGGACAATGAAATATAATATGATTTTGTATTTTGATTTGTGGACTTAAGAGGAACAATTTCAGTCTGTCTCTGGTGGGACTTCAGTCCAAAGAAGACATGCAATGRTGACAGCTGAGGAACATGAAGAGTTCAAAGGCATGATCTTAAAGATGTAAAGCAGAAAACRCAGCATCATTGTTCACTGGAGTCAGCAGAAATTCTCCTCCACTGACAAAAGTCTCTGGTGCCTAATGAAGTGAAAATACAGCTTGTCTTCCTCAAGATTTTCCTGTTTCCTTCATTGGCAATTAAAGACCCAAAGTTGTCAATGATGGGAGAATACATCTCTWATTATGCACCAATTAGATCTGCATTGGTTTCTCATTCATTAGGAAAGTCAGGTGGAATGTTCATGTGGAATTCCAGCTGTAAGATTCAGGCAAGATCAGGAAAATAATACATCATCTTGAAAAGTCAKGATGAGGGTACTGGATAGCCATGAGTTGTAACTGCTCATTAATAAGTAGAAAATAAAAGTTTCTATTTTACGACCTTCAGAAGTACTTTTCCTGTCCACAAAATGAAACGGAAGCTGAAAAAAGAATTCAGTGGTTTCTAAAACACAGGACATTCTGTGGAGAATTAGAACTAAGTCATTACTTTGGGGACATGAATAGGATTTTCTAAAGAATGTGGCTCTCTGTGGATCAGCTTGATCAGTACTAGGCAGGAGAACAATCGTATCAGACTGATAAACACACAGTTG